CGCAACAGTCACACAATTCAAGTGGGGTTAGAATCTTAACCCCAGGCCAGCCGGGACAGCCAGATCTTTAGAGCGGCGCGGAAGGACTGGAGGGTGGTGAGGGTCCGAATCTCCACGGGGAGTTGGCATAGCGGAGGGGCTTCAGAAGAAGGATCAAGCCCCAGCTAATCCAGCCCCCTCTGGGTCTAGGAAAGAAGCATCTGGCACTAGCCACAGAGTACACCATCCTTTTCTGGAATCCTTTGTAGTCAGTGAGGTCTCTACCTGGGGGACCAAGAGCAGAGGAGCAGGAACTCTCGAAGGACGAAGACCTTTCCCCAGAGGCTCCTGCTTTATATGGACTCTTCAAGCCCATCTTGTTTAAATCCATTTTACACAAGGCCAAGGCCATTACCCAGCTGGGCACTAAGGCCCAGGCCTGCCAAGGTTCTTCTGATTCAACCGTAGCCAATCCCAACGATAGCATGTTTAAGATGCAGGCTCCTGTCTTTATGGATGTAATTCAATGGCAATGAGTCCAACCTGGTTCCTTAGCTGCACCCAGTGTGGGGGACAAGAAGCTATATTCAATGGAATCAACCCTAGAGGATCTTTTAACCTTGCCCTCGGTAGATCTTTCAATAGCAGCCCTCACGTCTAATTCTGTTCTTCCAGCAGACCTGATGGAGGGTCTCAAGGTGGAAGACAAAAAGGCAGAGAAGGCTTGCCACAAGCCCCATCAAGCGGCAGCCTGGGCCATTAAGGCGTCTTCTTCTGCATCGTTCTTTAACAGGGCTTCCATAATTTGGCTACATGAGCTACAGTTCCAGCAGAGGACACTCACCTCCACCAAGATGTGACTAAGAGCATTGCAGCAGCCCAGTAATCAGCCGACGCCTTGCTTAATGCAGTGAAGGTTACCTCGAGGGTGCTAGCCTCCAATGTAACCTCTAGGCCCCTCATCTGGCTTCACCACTGGCAGGCCGACCAGAAGGCCAAGTGGAAGCTCACTTCTGCTCTTTCAAGGGAACCAGGCTATTTGGAGAGGTCTTAGACCCCTTCCTAATTGAATCTAAGGATAAGTGGAAGATCCTTCCCACCCTGACTAAGAAGCAGGATCGTAAGTCCACTCCCTATTTTAGGAGTCAGCCCTTTTGTACGAATGACTCCTTGTTCTCCTCCATGGCCCTCAGATCATTTAATCAATCCAACAATAGATCCCAGGACAGGCAGTCCTTTCAGGACAGGGGCAGACAGCAATTCAACTTCTGCAGACCTAACTGCGGCAGGGCTTCACACAGACCCTTCCACAAATCCAAGTGACTACCAAGGGTCCCCTCCCATCGGGGGATGGTTTCAGCTGTTCCTCTCCCAATGGGGACAGACCACGGAGGATGCCTGGGTCCTGCAGACTGTGAGGGAGGAACTCTCGCTAGAGTTCATCTCACGCTCCCCAAGGAATTTCATCTGATGCCCCACCCCTTCTTGCCCTCTCAAGAGAGAGCTTATGATCCAGGAGATCCATCATCTCCTGGAGATCAATGCCATAGAGCAGGTACCACCCAGCCAGGAGTGGAAGGGATTTTATTCCATCCTCTTCCTGGTGCCCAAGAACTCAGGGGGGTGATCTTGGACCTCAAGAACCTCAACTATCATCTTGCATACAGGAGGTTCAAAATTCAATCCATGCAAATCATCCTAGCAGGGATTCACCAAGGACACCTCCTCATGTCCATAGATCTAAAGGAGACATACCTACACATTTCAATTCAGCCACAACACCGAAGTTTCCTGCGGTTCTTCTATGCAGGCCAACACTATCAATACAGGGCCCTAACTTTCTGCCTGTCGTCGGCACCCAGGAAATTCACCAAAATTCTGTCAGTAGTCACAGCGCACCTCAGGCGCAAATTCAGAAGGCTCCAGTGTCACCTGGACGACATACTCATCCAATCATCATCCAGGAAACAGATCTTGCGGGACCTTCAAGTCACCATGAGATCCCTCCAGGTACACAGGTTCTCTGTGAACCTGGAGAAAAATTATCTCTCTCCGACCATCAAGCTTCTCCACCTGGGGGCAGTGATAGACACTTCCATCTGCAGGGTGTTCCTCTCCCAGGACAGGATAGACAGCATAGGCTCCCTAGTCCACAAGGTTCAGGGGTTGAGGCAGGTCCCTGTGCTGCTCCTCTCGCAACTGTTAGGGAAGATGATCTCATGCATCTTGGTAGTTCCCTGGGCCCGACTCCACTCCCGAGAGCGGCAGTGGTTCCTCCTGCTCATCAGAGATCCAACAGAAGCAACTCCCCCATGAAGGTTCGTCTTCCACCGACCGTGAATAGATCCCTCAGGTGGTGGTGATCAGCAGCCTTGTTAAAAGGCCATCTCTTCAAAGAACCCACGAGAGTAATAATCACAACGGATGCCAGCTTTGCCAGCTGGGGTGCTCACATAGCACATTGTGTGACTCAGGACAAGTGGTCTCCAGCTGACGTGGCCAGCAACATCAACTGGCTAGAGCTGCAGGCAGCGAGACTTGCCCTGAGTGATTTTCAGCAAGACATTCTACATCGGCACGTACTATTAATGATGGGCAATGTGGCCACCAAGGCACATATAATTCGTCAAGGTGGCACAAGATCCAGGAAGCTCATGGTGGAGGCAGAGGCCCTGGGCAGGTGGGCAGAGTGTCAGGTTGAATCCATCCAATCCGAACACATCTCGGGAGTGGAAAACATCCAGGCGGACTTGTTGAGCAGGATCACCATAGACAATGCAGAATAGTGATTGCATCCACTCCAGTTCCACCAGTTGCCCTGCAGATTCGGCACCCCAGCGATTGACCTGTTTGCCACCCACGAGAACACGCAGCTCCAACACTTCTTCTTCCGCTTCCACGAGGCGGAGGGGACAGATGTCCTCCGCTGCAGGTGGCCTCAGGAACTGTTATATGTGTTTCCTCCACTTCCGCTTCTGCCACAAGTGATCCGCCTTCATTGCAGAGAGGGCCAAGGTGCTGCTGGTAGCACTTCACTGGCCCCAGAGGTCCTGGTACACCGACCTCATCCGCCTGTTGGTGTCCAGCCCATGGCAAATCCCTCATATCTCCCTCAGCCAGGGGGCCATTATCCATCTGGATCCCCAGTGGCTCCAGTTGGCCCTCTGGTACTTGAAGGGGACCTCCTGAGGAGGGATGATCTGTCAGAAGAGGTGAGACATATCATCCAGGCATCCAGGCGACCTTCAATGACCAGAATTTATGACTCCACGTGGACCACCTTCGCTAAGTGGTGCAACAACCTCCAGCTTGATCTGGTCACAGCTCCAGTACCCCGTATATTGGCCTTTCTACAGGAGGGCCTCGATCGGGGATTCACTCCTAACACCCTTCGACAGCACGTCCCTGCATTATTCACCATTTGGTCTGGGGATTCAGTTCAGCCCCTCAGCAGACTACCAAGGGTTTGGTGCTTCCTCAAGGGTTCCTCTAATCTGCGTCTTCTGGTGGTCCACTGGTACCTGACTTGGCAGTTATTGGTGGTCCTACAGACTCTCACTTCAACTCCTTTCGAGCCTCTTCGTACAGCTTCTCTCCAGCACCTTATGCTTAAGACAGTCTTTCTTATTGCTATAACATCCGCAAGGAGAATATCAGAACTGGCAGCTCTATCTGTCTGAGAGGACCTATGTATCATACATCCGGACAGAGTTGTACTTCGCCTGGACCCAGCCTTCAGTCCATAATTTAACCCATGGTTCCATAGGGCGCAAGAGGTGATTCTACCAAACTTTTGTCCGTGTTCCAGGTACCCGAGGGAGCGTGTCTGGCACACTCTGGACATCAGACAGGACCTGCAGAGATATTTTAAATGGACAGCAGAATTCCGCAGGTCCGAGGCCCTTTTTGTGTCTTTCCAGCGAGGCTCCATGCGACAAATGGTAACATCTTACATTATTGGCAGATGGCTAAGAGCGTGCATTGCAGCTGCATACCAGACCAAGGCAGTACCTCGACATATCATCGCTCACTCTACAAGGAGCATCAACACCACCACTATCTGGGAAACCCAGGCCATAATTGATAACATCTGCAGAGCGGCTACGTGGTCATCCCCATTGCCCTTTGTCAGGAACTATAAATTGGACATGTTTGCTTCAGCTGAGGCATTGTTTGGCAGGCAGGTTCTGCAGGGGGTTGTTTCCACAACCGCATCCCAAGACAGAACTTCTTCCCGCCCTAGTGACAATTAACTTGGGTATGTCCCATGCTTGGACACTCCAAACAGTGCATAGGAAAATGACCATTGGCTTACCTGAAAGGTCCTTTTCTGTGCACTGCGGGAGAGTCTAACCCTGCCCAGGATCTTCAGGTCCAGGGATTCGGGGCCATCACATCAACTCAGACCCCTTTTTTGTTTCATTACATCATCAGCCTTCACTGGTTCCAGAACTGGTCAAAAATCTGGCTTTAAGGAGGAAAAAAGATTCCTCAGTCCTAGGGCAATCAGACTAATTTAATCCATGCTTGGACTCTCCTGCAGTACACAAAAAAGAACCCTTCAGGTAAGCCAATGGTCAACTTCTATCAAGATCCAAGAAATCCAGAAGAAAATATAATCGATGGTTCTTAATTTATTAATGACATAAATGTATGTTACCATTATAACAATATCTTTACCGCTGAGCATAATTTACAAACAAAACAACATGTAGTAAAGCAAGCAGCAAATGTTGCAAAGTAATTTGATTTTTCTGTTAAATAGTGTATATTTTTATAGCAAGCCATGTATGATTTTGCAATGACTATTTTACTTTAAGGGAAGTGCTTTAATGTGAATTTAAACTGTGACCCTACCCAAACTCAATTTCAATAAAAAGGAGGAAAATAGTCCAATGTATAAAAATCATTAATTTTTAAAATATATTTAACACATACATATTTTGACTTGATAACATAAATATTTTATGATAATAAAGTTTAAGCAACAGAACTCAATGCTAATTTAGCTTTTCTTGCAGATGTTCGTAGAAGAACAATCTATGAATATCACAAAGTGGAGCTTCAGATGTCAAAGGTCACCAATCTGTCAGCAGTTGAGATGATTCCTCTGCCCAGTAAGTTATATTTAACAAGCAGATAAAATGCTACATTTTAAAAGCTATATTTAAAACATGCCACTTTTCTTTTATAGCATTTGTAATACATAAAAAGGATATATTTTTACTCTATTGTTGGCCAATAGAGTATTACTTATACCTGTTGATATTTAAGCCAGCACGGTAATATAGTGGTGGATATAATGTGCTAATGTGCTCTTACTTTGCCTGGGTTTTTTGGGAGGTGACATGGAATAATCAATATAGCGCTGATCTTAAATTAGATGTGCAAAAGTTCATAATACAAACACTATGGTAGACCTCACTGTTTAATCTTGAATAAACTTCACTTGTCTCACAGAGTAAGCTACATTTACATTATTGGGTCTCCTCTATTATGGTGATAGCAATTGAAGCTTCTTAAACACCTGGTCCCCTAACTCTCTTGGATATTTTTATTCAGCTGGTTCTTCTCAGCAGCTATGTTCACAGGGGTGGGAAGGAGGCAAACAGTGATAAAATCAATGTCACAATGCAAGCCTTGCCTCTTTTGTACATGTGTTGTGACAGTATATACACAACCAAAAGGGTCATAGCTAACAGTATGATATTGTTTTCATCATTTTGACAAAAGCAGCAGGAGCTTGCAGATACCCATGCTTCTTAGTTGAGAAGTAGCCATGGAATTACAGAGAAATGCTATTCGCTTTGAGATAAACTGCAGGGCTTTGAAAAAATTATATCCATAAAAGAGAGGCAGACTTGGTTCAGATGTCAGTGCCTTCAACATTATATTAGAATGCTGGTCCTCACAATTGTTAAAGTTTAATTTGTAATAAAGAACTGTGGATACCATCTGGCTGATCTCTTCTCCCATCTATTTTCTGGCTATTTCCACAGTCTGATTGACTGTTTTACAGCTTTATTATAGGTTTACTTACTTGATTGATTGCCATAAGTTCTATATTTGTGTGTCTTAAGATACTGATAGCCATCTGCTTGCCCTGCTCATATCATTAATATATATATATATATATATCTATATATGACACTTTGCTATCTCAAATTTCTTACATTGATCAAAACAATGTTGTATTAAAGAACTCTGTGCAAGTTGTTTGTTTGTTTATTCACTTAAAACAGTGAAAAGGTGTAGATGCACCTAACAGATCAAGTGATGTCTGTCAGAGGTTGGACATCCATTATGGATACTGATGTGAGAAAATGTAAACAACAAAAGAAATAGACAAGCTTGGGATGGAAATTGCCTGTACCCCATTTGAAGAAACTATCTCAGTAGCTGAACTCTTTTTAATCCAGTTATGGCTCTTTCACAGTTTTCTAACCTTTTGTTATACCCATCTATCAAAAACATTATGCTATTAAAGGTAAACAGATATTAAGGAACAAATAAGAAAACTTTATAGCAGAAAGGCAGATTTAGGAGATACACAAAATATAGAAAGGCATTACAATTACAAAAGGGATCAAAATTGATGGTACAAGCTCAGTCTGTAATAGATTTGTATATCTCCGTAGTGTGTTCTGGAAGTGTCAAATTATTGTCCTCCAACCATTTTTCGTTTATTTTGAAGAGAATAAGTTCCTGAAAAAAATCAATTGTAGGAAATCTTATTAAGTTGAACAGTTTATTTTTATTTGCTTGCCCCTGTGCACATGTACATTTTATTTTTATCTTATTATGTTTTTACAGCTTGTCTTCAGTTTAACAGCTGTGAACCCTGTATAATGTCTCAGATTGGTTTCAACTGCAGCTGGTGCAATAAACTCCAAAGGTAAGAAAGCTTGTTAGCCTTAGTCTTTGGTATACAATGGCCTCATAATGAATCAGTTTTTCCTTTCGCCCAGACAATAAATGGTTCTTTAAATTGAGCTAATTCATTGCCTCAAATTCTTTTTGACCTTTTCAATTGTGGTAAAGGAAATTATAAGGTTCCTTTCTCAAATTCCCAAGGGATCTTAATTGGTAGCCAGACTCTTCCAGAATAATTAACACTAGGAAAAAAGGATTCCTTGCCATGCTTGGTGGGAGTGCCCTAGTATTACAAGATTTTGGCAGAAGGTATGAAATATAATTAAAAGGGCAACAGGCTGTCCATTAAATCAGTAGCCAACAGTGGTTATATGGGTTAATAAACAAGCTTTTATTGTAAAAATAGTGCAAATGTTGCTCATTTAAAAATAAATAAATATTAAGTTATATATGGATGTATGTAGCTAAAATTAAGGAATGGGTAGAATGAAAGAGGATTACTGACTGAAAAAAATGCATTCTTTTCTTTAAGAACATAAATTATACATGGCTAGAGATTAGGATTTCTTATCCAATTATAGTTTCAACAATCAAACAAAAGCATATTCCTTTTATTTATGGAGAGGTCTCATTTTAGAGGTGACTACTAGACTAGTAGATTTCACTTTCATTCCATGTATATGTTGGGGTTTTTTATTCATTTTATTTAAACTTAATATTTTAACTTTTCTGCCCAATGTTTTAATCTTTTGGCTTTTAATAGTTTTATGTCATTATTTATAACATTGTAAACTGCTCAGAGTTGCCTTATAGTGACATGAGTGGCATATAAATTAAATAAATACATTTAGACTATTTATTCTGAATAGTTGGCAAAATACAAACATTTATTCCCCTCTTTTAGTTAAAAAAAATAAGTGTCAAAAACTAAACCTTTGGGGGAAAAGATTATTTAAAAAAGCATCATGTAAATGCACTCTAATATACAGGCAATTGGATCTAACACTTGTATAATAATAAAATTTGGAGGTGAACTGTCATCTGAGAAAATCCACTGGGAATATTTCATTCCTATATTCAGATGTGACAGACCACAAACTGGTAATAAATAAGGGCATTCAGTATAATGAAGCAAATGCTTTAGAATATTTTATAGCGCTCTCTTTATATATAAATCATACTTTTCATCATCATGTCTTCATCAGTGATATACTACAGAATTTGCTCATCTTAATTTGATCTGTCCTTGAATACATCTCCAACTGTCTTATAGTGCAATATGCTTACATATTTTATAAAATACTCCATGAAATTCTATAAGATTGAAACAGGAGAGTCATATTTAGCCATAAAAAAGAAGGGTTTTTGGAATTTAAGAATACAGTCCATATAACAGGTGCGTATTGGTTTTTTTAAAAAAATTAATGAATTAATAATCACATGATTGAATGAGAAGTTTGAAATAAATGCCTTTAAATATTGTGAAGTATTTGCATGTATAAGGTATGTCTCATTTCATCAGTGATATATTAAGAATGATTAGCAGGAATTAACTCTGTCCTTTAACTTGCAACAGAAAAGATCAGGAGTGTACATATAAAATCATAACAAGCTATAATTCTATTAAGTATTCATGAAAAATTTGACATCTAATATATTCGCATGGTATTCCTGAAAATTTTGAAAACTATTCCTGAACATTTAAATTTGTCTTTGGAACCTGTTATGGCAATTATGTTTCCTTGTTTAAAGTTCAACTCTTATGCAATTGTTGTATATAATTTTTCAGGAAAAATTTCCAAAGTTTTAATGTTTTTCATAATGTAGTTGTATGTGTTAATCGAGATCAGAAGAGGTTACACAGTGGATCTTTTCTCATATTACTGATGCAAGGATCTTGTCAAAGCCTGAGCATAAAGAAAATTTATCTTCCCAGAGAGTACCGTAAATCTTTCCAATTCAGTTATTCTCAATATCTCATATAAAGTGCCACCAATTCGTCAATGAACCTGCTATTGTCATGTTAGACATGCATGTGTATATTGGAAAGCTGTTATCTTTCTCACTTCCAAAAAATCTTAAATTAAATTTTCAGCGTTCCACATTGTATCCAAGTTAGCCTATTCTAACTGACTCGGCATTTCCTATTAGTTTGTTTTGCCAGAATATTTATATTTTTGGTATTCAGTATAGTATCAGGAAGAATAATTTGAGAGTCAAAAATAATTGGAATTTAAAGTGTACAGTAATAATTCTATAGATTAAAAAAAAATTAAAAAAACCATCCTTAGCTTCTCACCTTGTAATAGCATGAATGAATTCAATTGCCGCATTGTTATGGAAACTAGGCTGTGTTGCTGTTGGTTCTTGTTTTAAATGCTATTGTACTTATAGCTTTAGAAATTAGAGTTGGAAATTCTACTTGATAGGATAACAGGAAAGAAGGGAGGAAAGGCCTTCAGCTTTTCAAAGGTTTTCCAGCAATCTAATGAGGCTCTGGAGGACTTATATAATGAAGGACAGAAAGAAGGTTTCTGCCATTCAAAAGTTATGAACACATCTAACATTCTGACTAAATAGGTCTTTTCAATTAATTTTTTTCCCTTCAAAATTGTATTTTATCATTTTTAGCAGAAATAATGGACAGAAAGAATATTCATAGAAATTGAAAGAAAACAAATTATAAGGAAATAGCAGACCTGATTTGTGTTTCCTCTTATTCCATGTTGTGAACATTGTTCTGCCACTTTGAAAAGCTTTTCTTGGCAGGGTTAGGATACAAGTCAATGTATAAGGAGTGCTAACTAAAGTATTAGTCTGATACCAAGGAGATCAGCATCTGATTCTCACTTTAGATATAGAAATTCAGCATTGAATTTTGGTTTTCTTCTCAGCCCAGCCTACTTCAAAGATTGTAACCATTCACAACCATAGTTCAAAGTTCATCATTCATAACCATAGTTCATAGTTCACAACCATAGTTCCAAGTTACAACAGCACTGAAAAAAGTGAATTATGACCCGTTATCAAAGATACAATGGCCACACCAGTGGTGGGTTGCCAATTTTTTTACTACCACTTCAGGTGCACATGTGCAGAAGCATCTAGGCAGATGGGTGGAGCCTCCCACCGCCACTACTACTGGTTTGCCTGATCTGGGCCGAACCAAGAGCAACTGGTTGCTTGGCAACTGGATCACATTTACAGCAGTTGTAGTGTCTTGTGGCCACATGATCACAATTTGAAATTTCCCAGGCAATTTCTGACAGGCAAAATCCATGGGAGACACTGGATTCACTTAACAACCATATGGTTTGCTTTCAACCCCCATGGTTCTCTTAATAACTGCAGTAAAATGATTGCAAAATTGGATTAAGTTACAATAAGTGATGATTTGCTTAACAACCATATCACTTAGCAAATAAAATTCCAATCCCAATTGTGGTTTATATGTTAAGGACTACCTGTATTGGGGTGGGTGGGATGGAGTAATATTATGTATACCTTCTGAATGAAAGCCTGGATATGCATCTAATAAGAGGACTACAGTTGCAAATCTAACAAAAATAAATGCTTGCAGTATTTTTCTCTGACTGTTTCTTTGATGCTGATCTTCTCTCCCCATTGATAAAATGGGGAAGTTCACTTTCAATTGTCTGGAAAAAAAATAAAAATTTGAGGCATCAGTTGTGCTCACAAGGGAGGTATAATGAAGATATAATTGCTAATCTTCCGGCAGTTGGCCCGTCTTATGGCAAGTACATGCTAATGCAACTTCTCTCTCTTCTTTTTGGCATATGGTTGCAAATGCTTGCTATATTCAATGATACTTTCCTCAGAATAGTGATGTGTATAAATGTCCAGTAAAAGTAAAAATAAGTGATGTCAGTGGATATAGCTGTGGAATTGAAAGAACACTTCTTTATCCAGATTGCGGTTCATTTCTCAAGATTTAAAGTGACAGGGTTCAATTGGGAAAATCACAGGATGTACAATGGAAACATTTTTTTTTTAAATGACACTGTTGATGCAGGAAGCCCATGAGGTCAGTATGAGGATTATTCCATAAAACCTCTACACCCAACCCTTCCCCCAAATGCAAACATACATACCCATCCATGTGTTAATGTTTTGCATGGAATATACTCCACTTTTAACTGAGTGATTATGATTTCTGATTCAGTCTGGAATTAGCCAGTATTCATTCCACAGAAATTTACATTAATAGTGATGCTTCTGCATCCAACTTTGATAAAATAATTAAATTGAATCAATGTTATCAAGATGAATCTGTTTTGTTCCATTTCAGGGTGGTTTTATTTTATTAATTACATACACATAATCAACAAATCCAGAAAATTACATCTAATATTCTCAAGGCATGCTGGGTGTTTTAAACTTTAATTTTCACAGAGTTTGTTATTCTGTCATGGATTGCAATAAAAATATATAACAAGACTAATTTGTTAATATCTGGATTAAGAACTAAATAGTCCAAAAATGAATTATAGTGATTTTATTGCATTTGTGTATTTTATTCCTAATTCCCAATAATACTGCTTTAATACCCCTCAGAGAGGGTTCGCAACTTGGGAGTCCTACTGGACCCACAGCTGACTTTTGACCACCATTTGATGGCTGTGACCAGGGGGGCATTTGCCCAGGTTCGCCTGGTGCGCCAGTTGCGACCCTACCTGAACCGGGAGGCCCTCACAACAATCACTCGGGCCCTTGTGACCTCTAGGCTGGAATACTGCAACGTGCTCTACATGGGGCTGCCCTTGAAGAGCATCCGGCGACTTCAGCTAGTCCAGAACGAAGCCGCGCGAGTGATTGTGGGTGCACCTCGGTTCACCCACATAACACCTATCCTCCGCGAGCTGCGCTGGCTACCTGTTGATCTCCGGGTGCGCTTCAAGGTGCTACTTATCACTCATAAAGCCCTTCATGGTAGTGGGTCTGCGTACTTGAGAGACCGCCTCCTGCCAATTACCTCCCTGCGACCAATTAGATCACATAGAT